AAGAAGAAGAAAGAAAGCAAGGTTGACATCCCTTAAATGCTGGAAGCTCAAAGATGTAGAGACAGTCCGGTCACACTGTCAGAGAGGCTAGCAGTGGTCGGCTACATCCCACAGAAAAACTGAACGGACATTTCCACTAAACTATTACTTTAGGAAATGACGGCAGGAAACTCAGGAGTAAATTGTACAAACGTCTACTAAATACTCGACAGAATTATTGCCCATACGGTGGCGGCTGTGGGGGTCAATGTCCTCCAGAAGAGGATTTCTTCCGCACAACCCGTGGCGGATCAGTTGAAGAGCACGTTGGCTCCAGGCACGGGCGAGGCTAGAGGTGGGTGGGAGGGGGGCTCGCCCCTGGTGACACTTTCGATCCATTACATCGATTATTTTGCATGTGCATTCTGTATATGCATATTTTCCTTTTCGATCATTAGGGGCGGTAAAATTCAAGTACAGCCCCGGGCGTCACAAATTCTAGCTACTCCACCCTTTGGTTTGGTTGTATGAGCTGTGAGATACGATTTGTATCTGGGGGTGGCGTAAAGTTCTACACTTGCACAAACGCCGAACTTTTAAAAACTCCCAGAATGCAACGGTACAGGGTTCATAGGCATGGTCATGATTCATAGACATGACCCACTAATAGGATCCCATAGATATGATCCAACAGATATGATCCATAGAAAGGATCCATTATTTATGATCCAATAATTATGATCCATATACATGATCCATAGACAGGATCCATTATTTATGATCCAGTAAATATGATCCATATACATGCTCCAATAGATATGATCCATAGAAAGGATCCATTATTTATGATCCAATAAATATGATCCATATACATGATCCATAGACAGGATCCATTATTTATGATCCAGTAAATATGATCCATATACATGATCCAATAGATATGATCCATAGAAAGGATCCATTATTTATGATCCAATAAATATGATCCATAAACATGATTCCTTAGACATGATTCATAAACATGATCCCATAGATATGATCCATAGACAGGATCCATTGACAGGATCCATAGAAATGATCCAACAGACATGATCCATAGACAGGATCCGATAGACAGAATCCATAGACAGGCTCCAGAGGACAGTTACCTCCCAATCCGCCCAATGAGGTCATCACACAACTGCAGCTTGTTTATTGTAACATCGTTTCCTCGTCTCTCGACACAGTGTTGATGGACTGCTGACAGCTTGTAGTATACGCCACACCAACATTACAACAACACGCTAAGGCATCAGACTTCACTGTGTGGATTACATTGGCTGTGAACGAGTGTTGAGCCTCGCACTAATTAGTAGTATTTTTTTAAAATAAAATCAACAGGTGACCCGAATAAGCCAAACCCAAATTGATCAAACTGCAAAACTGATACTTGGGTTATTTATAAGTATAAACCTTCTCAGCGTCACGAGAAAACACGGAGTCTTCTTATCTTCATCACCGCGGAGACGCCATGAAGTGCTCTTTGAGTGTGTGGAATCGCGCTTATATATTATATATATATGTATAATATTTAAAGAATCAATTGACCCAATAATTTTTTGCTACATATTAAAACACAATATCTAGCTCAGTGCTGTGCAAATGATGATCTGAGGCATTTAGCTGCCTGGTGAGCTATGGCATATATCATAGAAAACCATTTTTACTGAGCATATTTAAACCTCACATCTAGCTCAGTGCTGTGCAAATGATGATCTGAGGCATTTAGCTGCCTGGTGAGCTATGGCATATATCATAGAAAACCATTTTTACTGAGCATATTTAAACCTCACATCTAGCTCAGTGCTGTGCAAATGATGATCTGAGGCATTTAGCTGCCTGGTGAGCTATGGCATATATCATAGAAAACCATTTTTACTGAGCATATTTAAACCTCACATCTAGCTCAGTGCTGTGCAAATGATGATCTGAGGCATTTAGCTGCCTGGTGAGCTTTCGCATTTAGAAAACATTTTTTTAATGAAGACTGTCAAGATTAACTAGTTTATAAACGTAGGCGACGACCCCAAAGTCACACAGTGAATAAATGAACGAAATAAACATGAACAAAAGTGTTTGGAGGGGAGGGGGGCATGTTATTGTACTTCATATATTTAAAGATTAAAAAAACAACAACAATAATCTGGTCCGGTATTAGTAAAATACAGGCGCGCATAAACATTGTAAAAACAATGGTATAGATGGGCTCAATGAAGAATAATATCCTTTCAACTTTTATCATATTTGGATAAGCTATTGGATTTGAAAAGGATTTAGTATCCGGCTGAATAAATTAAAACCTTGACATTACATCCCAGTTGTCCTATATAGTAATTTTATACCGTTTTTTCTGCTGTTTCGTTCGCTGACGAAGGCTTTCTGCCGACACGTTCGTTGTTTTGTTACGCTTCTTTTTTCAGGTTTAACCTTACTCTGTTTTACTCAATGATAGCGGCGATGCGTTTCCGGTTCCATTATTTTTTAATAAACCCCAAACCCCAAACCCCAAACCCATCTCTCGGTCCCGGGTCCGAATAGCCGCAGCCTTATATTAATGTGTGTTTTTATTTGGGGGAAATCATTTCAAATAAAGTATAGATTTCCAAATATTTATTTGATTGAAATGTTTATTTGGAATTTTTAACTACCTTAAATTTCTTCAGATAAATTACACATTTCCTCTTCGATATACTTGAACACATTTTTTCCACCCAAGTCCAAAGAATAAGAAATAGCGGTAGCGGCATTTCGGACCCGGGTCCCTTTTAGACTAAATGCTATTCGGATGTCATTTGTGGTAGTTTATTTTAGTTAAACTCAAGAAGTACGTTTAAAAACATATAGACTAGTCTATTCAATTATCTTTCATTTGATACCAAATTTTGTATTACAACCCAACAATAACATTTTAAATATTTTAATACTCTAAACCCAATCTCTCACTCTTCTGCGGGACTGAACAGCCACTTCGAAAAAAAAAACGAAGTGGATGCGTACACCGCGGCGGTGTACCTAGTAAAATCGTGGGCTTTGGACTGGGTACACCGCGGCAAAAATGTACCATTGGCCTGGTTTTAATATATCCTTGTTAGAGTAGATCATGTGTGGTCAAGTGGTAGAGTGGACGCTTGGCGATAATATGGATTGAGATCAAATCTCAGTAGGGGATCGAGTATTTTTTCCCTCCCATTTTAGTTTTAAAATATTTTGTAGCAATTTAAACAATTTAAATATATGTTTAAATATTATATTAAATACACTTTATATATTTATTTATATATGTGTTTCAACAAGTTGTGCCAGCCTTCGACTTTGAAAATACTGGTAAATTTAGTAACAAGACTTTAGGCATTTGAAAAGAAACTTAAAGTTTCTGAAAGCGCACGTATAGTGTATGTCAATGTAACATGTATAAGAGAAACATTATGAATACTAAGTGACTGTTATTCAATTGTATTTCAACATTCTTCGTATAGTTGAATATTTACATTTTACTTTTACGAACACCCAAAGAAAATACCAGTATGAATAATATTCATACCATATGAATATTAATGTGCATGGTCGTATTTCAACCTTGAACCATCTTGCTTTCACTATGCCTTATGCATTGGCAAAATGTACATACGATATCAAAGGTTCATTCACAACACCCAGTCTCACAGCAAATCTTTTGAAAACACCTCGATTTTAGAAACTTGCGGTGCGCTAGCAAACTGTATAGCAAAGCCATAGGTCTGCGTTTACCCTTTTCATGACGTAATTTATTTCCAGAATGGCATGGCATGTGCTATTTTCAGGGTAAAACATGACGTTTTCTCACAGAAACCATTGCACAATGGGCTTGGGACAGGATTTGCACTATGTCAAAGTGTTTGTATTTGTTGTTGTTTTTTGTTTTTTTTGTTAAGAAATTGATCCTTGCTGGGGGATGGGGGGTGGTGGTGAGTTATGGGCAGAGGCTTAACCAAAAAGGGGGCATTCACAAATCACGGCTCAGGATAGGGGTTGTCCACAAAGGACGTCCCCACAACAAACTTACCTTCTGCATCCCCCCTCCTTTTTTCCGCCGGCATTTTTGACTAATGTGTAATGCCAATGGAAATCTAAATCAATGATATTTAATTATTGTTAAAGGACTTTTAAAAATCACTGCCATGTTTCGTATTGATCATACTTTTGTTTTGTGTTGACACATGCTTGGTATCACAATGACAATGCATCGGACAACTTTAACTTCACGACTTCATGATCAATGTATGAGTATGTGATTCTCTTCCCGTAGTGTATTTGTGGCGTAATTATATCTTGGTGCTAACAAAATAGATTCACTGGCTTCCCATTCATTTTTATAACAAAATAGATTCACAGTCTTCCCATTCATTTTTACACCACGCCCCGAGGGATCACATTTAATGTTATATTTATAATGCCCCCCCCCAAAAAAAAACAACTGGGTTGGGGGGGGGGGGCATGAGAGAATAATTTCAAATTAAGATTCACAATCATATGATAAAACTTACAATTAATAAATATATTTGTATTTCAATATATTGGGGGAGGGGGGAATAAAGTGGTTAAATTTAAAAATAAAACATGGTTTAACATTACACCCTCAGCCCCCTCCCTTCCAAAAATAATAAGAAATGCTTTACATGCACTTTGCCACATAAGCGTGGAACTTACTCAATATCTTCCCAAGGTAATAAACGAATTTTAAATAGTTTTCAGTTTTAACACGAGTATAACATTAAATCTAAAAGTACCGGTTAGGCCAAAAAGTCAAAGACTCGCAAAGACCATAGTTTTGCTACTTTAAATCGCTGCGGTGTACGCAGGCCACAGACCATGATTTAGCAAGGTACACCGCCGTGGTGTACGCAGGCAAAAGTCAATAGTTTCGCTAGGTACACCGCCGCGGTGTACGTAGTGCCGGCCAAAAAAACAAAAAAAAAACAACCTCTTTTCGAAAAGAGTTAAATCAGAATCAAAACTTCAAACAATAGGCTCATCTTTGGTAGCATATTGAATACCGGCCTACTTATTGTAACGTCTTTTTCTGCACCATTCATTGCTTTGTCAGGCCTTCTGTCGCTGAGTCAGTAAAAAAACAACTATTGAGTGATTAACATCAGACTCAGACATTCACAACTGTCGTTCAACAGTCAAACTGAAGTGAGTAGTCTAACTCTAGTGATCTAGCGGTAGGTACTACTACTAAATTACTACTTACTACTACGTACTCACCGTACTCGTACTGTGGTACTACTGTACTGGTGTTCACGGTTCATTGATCGTTGTGGTAATCATTGTTTTTCAATTTTATTTTGAAATTAGTGATTAGTGTAGCAGTATAAGTGGTGGTCTTCAAATATTGTTATCTGTATAAACTGTATTCGTATTAGTATTAGTATATTAAATTATTAATTATTATTACTATTACTCTAAATTTTAGTTTGTCCAGATTGAAGAATTGTGTGCCCCAAACCAGACTGGCTTACCTAATATTACTAATGCCTAATGTCTCTAATGACTAATACTAATGATAAATGTCTAGGTATTTCAATAAAAATATCAAAGTCAAAGATATTATATTATTTTAGGAACTTCGGTATCGCCCAGAATTGGGCCAGAAACACACAAACATAGTTATCGTAATTTCATTGTCATAGTGACCCTAATTTTCACAGAATATCATTGTTTTGCTTTTATAGTTGAGTTTTAGCACAATGATGATAAAGCCGCCAATTAACTTAAAAGCCGACATCTTGCTTGTTCTTGAGAATTCATTTGATCTTTTGTTTGTTGAGTTTTAAGCTTTGAAAATGTAATTTGTCATCATGGCCATGGCCATGGCCACCATGCTTTTCTGCATATTTTCTTTAGCGGCTGTGGGGATAGTTTAAAATATTAAAATTCATTATGTAACATTCGTTATCCAGAATATAAATGGGAAATATAACTAATAATAAATATATATACATATTTATATATATAAGAATAACAAAGAAGGGATATCATTTCCGGTTCATTTTGCAAAAATAAATAACTGGTTACGATTTATGTTATTAAACTGTAGCCGGTCTATAAAATTTAAGAACTGTCTAAATTTCATGATGATTTTTTTTGTTACTTGTTTCACATGGTTAAATGGGTCTCATATGCAAAACAAAAAGATTTATGTGCAATATTATTATGGTTTCCAAACTATAGTGCTATCAGACTTACCCATTTTTCCAAGAAAAATATCTGCTACATGCGCTATAAGGTCATAAGGTAGATACAATTTTTTAGATGGTATTGATCGCCCTCATCGTATACACAAAATCAGCAAAAATTAGTCAATTGTCTCCCTTATAAAGACAAAGGAAACTAGATCTCCATATGACCACGTGTCCTTTGTATTGACAGATCACCGGTTTATGGTTTGTTCCTCCGCATCCAAAAAATCAATTGGCGCCTATCAGTACCTATCCAGACTGAAGAATTGTGTGTCCCCAACAAAGTTTAACTTAGTTAATAAAAACTTTTAATTAAGTATGCAATGAACAATGCAATGAAAAAAGGTGGTAAAAGTATATTTTAGGTATGTAAATTATTCATTGATGTTTAACGTTAATAATTATATCAGATATATTATGTCACAGCAATCATATCATTTCCATTGTTTTCAACTGGAAAGTTCTCTGAGATGATTTTCAAAAATGTAGCATAACTTACTGCAGAATACAAATTCGTAAATATATGAATGGAACAGTTCATGGCACGTTTCAAACTGACGGCAAAGTTTCCATTTTGCTTGCATCAAAGTTTTCAGTGGGAACATTGCTATCCCCATGATTGATGAAGATCTCTTGATGAACAATGTCAAGCATGTATATGTCATTGGCGATCCGTCCAATGTTGGACTTTGCGTGGGCCGCCCAATCTTTGTTGGTGTGTGAGGTCTACCATGCATGATGTGAGTGCAATTATGCACATTAATTGGTAATCAATGAAACGAAAAAAAAAAAAAATCCTGTAGCGTGTGTTCAAGAATAAAAGTAAGTTTACATTCTTGATTCATGCGAAAATCTTTGAGAAATAGTTCATGCACTTCGCCCAATCTTTGTTGGTGTGTGAGGTCTACCATGAATGATGTGAGTGCAATTATTCACATTAATTGGTAATAAAAGAAACGAAAAAAAAAAAAAAAAAATCCTGTAGCGTGTGTTCAAGAATAAAAGTAAGTTTACATTCTTGATTCATGCGAAAATCTTTGAGAAATAGTTCATGCACTAAAATGCACTTTTACCAAAAAGATACCAGACCTATTTACTCTTTACGATTTTGGCGTACAATGTACAATTTTGAGGTGTATACATTATATAAACTGTATTTTTATTTTTGTTAACAATTAAGATAATGTATTGAATGATTTTGTGATGTTATTGTAGTATTTTAAGTGTTTGAGGGTTAACAGGTCTGAGATAATGCTACTCTCATGGAAATATTAAATTTGTTAAGAATAGGCCTAGCCTACAGGCTATACTTTTTCATTCATACATAATTCATAATGAAGTAAAAGTATACCTCTGAGCACCAATAATTCTTACATGATTAAAATAGCCCGGGTTCATAAAAATCATGATTTAAAACGAAAAACTGATTTGATTTAAATCAGATTTATTTGAGCTTTTAAGCTTTTAAAAATTTAAATTGATTATTAACTTTTTTTTTGTTAAATATTTATTTGAGATTTTGAAGCATATTAATATTTATAAAGGTTAAGCATAACATAGTTAATAGCATTTTAAAAATGTTGTGGGTTTTAAATTGCAATTGTAAAAATTGATTATTGATATAAGATGTTTAACAATTTAAATTTGCTTTGTTTCTTGAAATTTACTTTTTGTCTCATTGTTTGAAAGGATGCTTTAGAGTTTGAAGTATATTAATGTTTATACAGGTTAAACATAATGTCGTCAATGGAGTTTAAATCCAATTTTAAATTAAAAGTGGATTTTAAAAAAAAAATTAAATGGGATTTAAAAAAAATTAAATAAATTTTTTTTTAGATTTATATTTAACAAAAAATTTTTTTTAGGAGTTCTCTAGATTTTGAAGTAGATGCGCTTAATTTTTATAAAGCGTGAATTTGAATTTGACATACAGATTTAAATTTAAGTAAAATATTAGAAAAATCATTTATTAAATTAAAAATATTTTTATGACATTAAATCCATTTAAAATGACTTTCATACTTTCCCAAAACTGAAATTTCTCATTATTTCCTAAAAAAATGTTTATAAAATATCAATTAATTAACTTTAAAAAAAAAAATAATCATTGATTTTCATTGTCTTAATATTATAATTTCTATCTTATCTATATGAAAAAGTACTTCAGTTAAGTTTGACACTTTCAAATTATCAATATCATAAAATTTTCATTCATCAATGCCATTTGATTCTACCAAAGCCTAATTATTGAATCATTTGAGCCCCAAGCGTTCTCAACCCTAAGTTTATTTCTAAAAACTGAAAGGTATAATTGAATGAACATGAAATTTAACATTATAAAATTCAGTTTATAAAGTTAGTTACAATTATAATTTACTATATATTCCTACTTTTCTAATTTCTTTCCACAGAGAGAAATGCCACCAAAGAATGCATTTTATATGTTTATGCAAGCAGAAAGAAAGAAGATCATGGCGCAAGCTGGAACTGCCCCACCTATGCAAGATATGGCAGGCCTGTGTATAAACAGATGGAAGGTATTTATTATCTCATTGATCTTTTAAGGATATTGTAATTGTATCAGGGCATGGGAACTAAAGTGGCCCCAGATTCCGACATTAGAGCTACCCATAATTGACATGTCCAGAGACCTACCGGTCGACCAACACTGAGATGGATCGACGATGTAGAGATGGTCTTACACCAGCTGGGGGTTTGCGCATGCATTAATGCCAATGGAAGGATGTGGTGAAGGATGCCAGGGCCCTGCATGGGCTGCAGCGCCACTGAAGATGAAAAGTGACATGTCACTGAATGTAAGAAGAGATAGTTTTAAAGAGAGTGGATTAAAAAAAAATATTTGTTTTTAATTCTTAATTAGGGAAAATTAAATAATAAATTTTACATCATTCAGTATGTAGTTGTAACATAACTAGTAATAGGAGCTTTTCTAACTAAATGAGAATGACAACATTAGTAGCAAATATGCTATGCAACACAACATCGTAGGTAATCAGAAACATAGGTCAGGGAAAACCTAAGGGCTATTCATGCTAAATACACTGTTTACCTGTATAATGTTTGGGCTTGTTATGTTTTCCAATTTAAACGGCTGTACAGAGTCTGATATATATTTTTACTGGATTCAGAAAACAATGTGCACATGTTTTTAAAAAAAATGGTTGTAACGCTAGAAAGATTTGTTATCCTCTTTCTAACAATTGAGTCATAGTCACAATGAATCTGGAATGTGTTGGTTCCTCACTAGCAATGGAGTGATGGTCACAGTGAAGCTAGAAGGCTTTGGTCCCTCACTAATAGGGGTGTGCCGGATCCGTTTTTTCCAACCGGATCCGGATCCGGATTTTCTTATGCGAAATCCGCCGGATCCGGATTCCGGTTTCTCCCGGATTCCGGATTTTGGTACTATTGGTAGATACTTCGGTAAGTCAAGGTGGACTACTACTTTTTGTGTATGGGAATTTGCAATCGGCGCCAAAAAATCCGAGTTTTTAATTTTCCGATGTGTGTGTCTATTTATTATTAAATTAGTACTTTCGATATATATTTGAGTTCCGTTCCATTTGGATAAGTGTCTTACGAGAGACGCCATGTTTCTACGCGTTCGCAGCAGGTTATGCAGCTCGCTCAACCTAATTTCGCCATGGGGTTGGCCACGCCCCCCTTTTTAATGGCGGAAGTTGACGATACTTAGGAAATATTAATTTATTATCACTATTTACATCAAAATAATTGATAACTTGTGTTTCAGAATGCATTTAAAGACATTTAAACTGGAATGTTTTAATTTGAGCTTTAACAACCCGGTAGAATCCATATTATAAATGATCAGAATTTACCGTGTGCAACACGTTGTCATTGGCAACCATTCACAGCCACTTGCATAACTGTATCGTAGTACTACCTCAGAGTTTCATTCATAAGAGTTTGCCGTGTGCAAAAACTATTAAACCATTGGTCAGGGAAAGCTTTAATTAATTATTCATGTGCCAAAGTTGAAAGTTTAAACTAAGTCTAAACAGTATTTTAGTGATAAGGCAGGGAATGCGTTGCCTTATATAAACTATATAGTCATTGCGCATGACGGGATTGGCGGAATGAGATCACAGAATGTGGAGATGCAGTCCATGTTAAAAAATGACAAACCAAGTCGTACTTTAAAAATTCATAACTTTAAAACTACAACAGCTAAAAATATGATTTTGGTGTTATAATTCTTTAAAAAATTACATCTTTTCAACTATGCCATTGGTTTATTTTTACAAAAAGTTTAAATTTTCTTATCAAAGTCCCTACACTATTGGCCACTATTAGCGGTGCTGACTCTAGCCTCTGGTATGTACGGAATATTAAACATTAAACAAGCTCAACGCTCGAAACAATCGATTAATGTATCGTGATCGTGTGGAATTCGGGAAAGAGAATTACTTTTATTTCAGATTATGATCCGGTGAGTCACAAAATCTGGCAAATTCCGAAATCCGGTATATTCCGGATTCCGGAATCCGGTTGTTCCGGATACATGTAAATCCGGCGGAACCGGATTTCACCGGATAGTGCAAAATCCGGCGGAACCGGATTCCGGATCGGGGTCCGGCACACCCCTACTCACTAACAATTGAGTGATGGTCACAATGAAGCTTGCATCTGCTGTGTTTAACTCTATGAAGGTTATAACTGTGGGGAAACTTCCAACAGTTGATCCCTGAACGGGTTCCCAGCTGAAAAAGTGAACTCTTTTTAGAAATTTTCATATATAAATTGGTTTCTTCTTATAAAGTTTAGATAATTTTTTAATGCTCCCAAACGCACTATCAACCTCATACACAAAAACACTTCGGACACAGCCTGTGAACAAGCACAATCAATCTGATGCACAAATACGCTTCAGGCATTGCATATGCAAATGCACGATCAACCTCATGCACCATTAAACAATCTGAAAGTATTTCATATAAATCCTTTGTATGCATTTTTATTATTTTATTTTATTTTTTAATAACCCTCCCGCTTTTACATTGCAAATTTATTCGTTAAAAAAGAAGAAAATATTACGCACCGAACGCACTTGCAAAAGAATTCCATTAAGCGCACTGAAATTCCAGGAGCTCCTGGAAATCTTCTGGAATTTGAAATAAATTGATAAAATCCTGGAAAACTCCTTAAATTTTAAAATTTCTGCTTAAATGTCCTGAAATGCCTAGAAAAGCAAAACCATCACCAGCATGCTGGGTAGATGGGACTCATTAACCTTGAATGGCAACTCATCTTTGAGAAGGTTAACTCTGAAATCAAACCCGGAAATGGAGTCCCATAGGCATTATGACATTGACGCAATTAAAATTCAGACAAACTTCTATAACGTAGAAGCATAAAGAGCATAGTGAAACACACAAACTCACTGCTGGTAATCTACTGCATCATGGTTTATATCCTGTCGTCTTGCCTAAGCTTGCCATTGAATCAAATAGGCAAGGACGAGAGAGTGGTTCTGACAAATTAAGCAACTCTCCCTAAATTTAAACAAAATACAGCTCACGTCAAGGCTACTTCTCCAGTCTTAGTGATATTCACTTGTACAGAACGAACAACAATACCGGAAATATTGATATTGATATCAAATATACTTGAGTAATTTGCAGGACCGTTCTGGGATACCATGAAAATTAGAGGAAAATTATTACTAATCGTCTATCATCTGAGACTTCCTCTAGTTCAACTTCATTTTTTTCACCTACCTCGGGTGTCCACTTTTGCAATGTCTTAGTAAAGCTCCCAAGTTATGTGTATCATCGGAAATAAATATTACTTACTGTTCTTACTTGTGATTGAAATTGATTATTTTATAAGTAAATTAGTTGTTTGTTTTAAAACATCAAGTACATCTTATCAGAAACAAGTTACTCAATTGTGTGTGAACTAGGGACCTTAAATTTAAATCAAATAATTGCTATAGTTTTAGCAGTCCTGAGAGTAAGAACCAGCACTATATAAGTGCATTTATGTCCTGTTACTACAAAAAATTGTTTAAAAATATAGTGTCTTTTTTTTTTTTTTTTAATTTTTAAAACTGTTCTGGAATTTTGTTTTTTCTCCTGGAAGAGTCCTGGAATTTTTTTTAGATTTGGTGCAGGAGCCCTGTATTAGGAGTCCTGTATTAGGAGCCCTGTATTAGGAGCCCTGTATTAGGAGCCCTGTATTAGGAGTTTTATTTCATGAAATCTTTGTCATCTTATTTCCTTTATCTTCCCCATGGGGGAAAAACTGATTTTTGAGGGATGGGTCTGAAAATTTATAGAATGTGTTATCTCAACGAGTCCATGTGCCAAGTTTCAGCAGAATATGTTGAGGGGAGGTGGGTCAATTAGCTGTCCAAAGATTTTGCTACACACCCAGTCAGAAAGAAGCACACAAACAAAAGTGAAGGTAATATAAACGATTTAAAAACAGCAAACACCACAACCGATAAAAACCACTTGCTGCTCTCATAAACAAAATAAATTATCAAGATGAGATCTTGATCACATGAAGTCGGCAATGTCCATGGTAAAATGTACTACAAGTTCATGTTTGTCTCCCTTGTTTCTGTACAGGGTTTGAGTCCACAGGAGAAAAGTGTTTATGAAGGCATGGCGAGAAGAGAGAGAACCACAAAAGGACCCGGCAGCAAGATGGATAATCAAAGGAGGCTGATTTCAGTGAGTCAAACATTATCTAGTGAGATTGACGGCCAGAGAAGTCTTAGTTCAGTGAGTCAAACATTATCCATTAACATTTCATTTCCTCTCCCTGTGCTGGAATTGGAAAAAATTTGGTCTACGGTTTTTAAAACAATCCTTGCATACATTTTTATAAACTGTTCATCTGTCTTGTGATCCAGGAAAGGAAAGACCCAGTGGAGGAGGAAAAGAAGAGGCGTAATCTGGAAACTCAGGCGATGGGGAGCAGTTGGGTAGGCCAAGGTGAGTGGGCAGGCCATCGTGGGTGGTTGGGCAGGTCAGGGTAAGAAGTTGGGCAGGCGATTGGGTAGCAGTATGGCAGGTCAGGGTGAGTAGTTGGGCAGGTCAGGGTGAGTAGTTGGGCAGGCCGAGGTGAGTAGTTAGGCAGGCCATCGTGGATGGTTGGGCAGGTCAGGGTGAGAAGTTGGGCAGGCGATGGGTAGCAGTTGGGCAGGCCATCGTGGGTGGTTGGGCAGGTCAGGGTGAGAAGTTGGGCAGGCGATTGGGTAGCAGTATGGCAGGTCAGGGTGAGTAGTTGGGCAGGTCAGGGTGAGTAGTTGGGCAGGCGAGGGTGAGTAGTTGGGCAGGCGAGGGTGAGTAGTTGTGCAGACGAGGGTGAGTAGTTGGGCAGGTGAAGGTAGATAGCTTTTTTTTATTCAACAAGAAAGTTTGATTTTTTGTGACAGCAATTTTATCTTTAATGGGGGTGCCATGTTATTTTAAAAGGAGATGTTGGTTAGCTTAACGGTGGTCACAATTTTATCCTAGTAGGCACTAATGAATTTTAACAATATGAGTATGTATTCAAAGCAGTTTGATTAGGAAATAAATTTGAACCAATTTTCAATGAGCTTGACAAAATGGTTCTTGTTAAGTAAACTAAGTTTTCAAATGCCTAATGTGTGAGGAGAAAATATTCTGCAGTGACCTCCCTTAAAATAACTTTATTTTTTTGGTACATAAAATTTAATTTTAAATTGTTATTCTTATCATCATATAAATATCATCCCTTACTATGCCCCTCTCACAGACTTGAAGAAGATCAAGTATTGTTATTCTGAGCCTCATAATACTCAGATACTTATCTTTTTTTTTCATATTTGAGGGCCCACAATAAATTTATTGATCATTTTGGCTCCTGGTTTGAATTCAGAGTTAGCCTTCACTTAAATGAGTTGCCTTCCAAGGCTAACGGGTCTCATCCACCCGGGGTGCTTGGGATGTTGGCTTTTTGCAAGGATTGAACTCCAGACCACCACAGTTTGGAGTGAGTCAGTTTAGACCACTCTGCCACCCTCTCACAGACTAGAAGAAGATCAATTATTGTTATTATGAGTCTCATATGAATAATATCTTCTCTTTTTATGCCCCTCTCACAGACTTGAAGAAGATTAAGTTTCACTTGATTGACTTTCAAGTAATGTATGACGAACGGGAAGTTGACCTGCATCTCCCCATGGAGGTGGGTCTGGTGTGTATCACTCTGGCCGATGGAATTTTAAAAAGTATGCACCGGTTTACAGACCCAGGGGACGCGCCACAAGGAAACAGAAGAATTGCCAACGAATACGGTAGGATTTAATATTTTGACCTACTCAGCTGAATTCTTTTGACCTACTCAGTTGAATTCTTGTGACATATTCAGCAGTAGAAACATTTATTGTTGTAGCTCCCTCTTTGAATACGTTTACAGCAGGGACCATAAAGTTACAAGGCTGCACATGTCTATGAATACATTTACAACAGGGACCATAAATTTACAAGAATGCACATCTCTATGAATACATTTACAGCTGGAAACACAAAGTTACAAGGCTGCACTTCTCTATGAAAAAATTGACTGCATGAAACACAAAGTTACAAGGCTACACATCTCTATGAATACATTTACAGCATGAAACACAAAGTTACAAGGCGGCACACCTCTATGAATACATTTACAGCATGAAACACAAAGTTACAAGGCGGCACACCTCTATGAATACATTTACAGCATGAAACACAAAGTTACAAGGCTGCACATCTCTATGAATACATTTACAGCATGAAACACAAAGTTACAAGGCGGCACACCTCTATGAATACATTTACAGCATGAAACACAAAGTTACAAGGCTGCACATCTCTATGAATACATTTACAGCATGAAACACAAAGTTACAAGGCGGCACACCTCTATGAATACATTTACAGCATGAAACACAAAGTTACAAGGCTGCACATCTCTATGAATACATTTACAGCATGAAACACAAAGTTACAAGGCTGCACATCTCTATGAAAACATTTACAGCATGAAACACAAAGCTACAAGGCTGCACATCTCTATGAATACATTTACAGCAGGAAACACAAAGTTACAAGGCGGCACACCTTTAACATTTAGCAAATTGCAAATGGAAACTGTGTTGTGCCCAATTGTTTTAAGTAGTTTTAATTGATATATGAGGGAAAACAGGATTGTGAGTTTGGATATAGTTAACTTATTCAAGTCCTTATGAAAAGAGACTAATAAAAATGTTTGATCTAAACCAGTGTTGGGTGTGTAGGAATACAGCAATACATGATCCACACTGGAGTTGGGTGTCTAGGAGTACAACACAACAGATGATCCAAACTGGAGTTGGGTGTCTAGGAGTACAACACAATACATGATCCACACTAGAGTTGGGTGTTTAGGAGTAAAATACATTTTTACACTAGAGTTGGGTGCTTAGTTGTATAGCACAATACATTATCCACACCAGAGTTGGTTCTCTATTGGTGTCCTTTTTGTCAACAAGCTTGCACTGTAAGATGGACTGTAGCTTTTGATAATGCTAAACTTTAGAGAAAACTATAAACTATTTCTGGTATGCTAAAGAAAATGATGATCAGCTCTACATTTTGATTTTTTTTTTACTTTATATATATTTTTTTAATCTAACAGCTGAGTCGCACCATCAAATACCTCTCAACTTCGAGCAAAGTGATAGCGACTTTACCAGTTTATGGTTTGAGCTTGAACACTTTTTGGCAGACGATCCCCAGAGAGATGATATCCCACCTTTATTTTGCCTGGTATGTTCTACAGCAATTGTAAGCTTAGGCTGAAAGACCTGGTTGTTTCAACTGTACAATGATTTGCTGGGAGGATATTTAATATGACTCAAGGCCCATAATTTGTTTTTCCATCATAACAACAACAAAAAAAAAAAGCACATATCATTTTGTTATCAATTATCTGCATTATATTCTTACAAGTGTTTACCAATCAACCACGTTATGTTGGCTGGTTTAACATTGAACTAATTTATGTTGGCTGGTGTAACATTGAACCAATTTACGTTGGCTGGTGTAACATTGAACCAATTTACGTTAGCTGGTGTTACATTGAACTAATTTATGTTGGCTGGTGTAACAGTGAACCAAATTATGTAGGTTGATGTCACAATGAACCAAGTTATGAAGGCTGGTGTACCATTTAAGTGTCGTCCCAAGAAATTAGCCACAACTGAAAGTATTCGTGAAAACCTCAGTTTCTCTAATTCTTATTGTAGGTCATTATTTTAAAGGGGTCATCCGTTTACTATCCCGTATGTGGTATCAGCCTATAATATATTAGCAGGAATAGGCTTAATTGAAATCGATTCTTATTTTATAATTTTTTTAAACCAACTTTTCTTAAAAACAACAATCTCAGGTTACTTGGTAGGTTTTTTAAATGTCATCATTTGTTAATTAATTCTTATTTAAATACATCATGTTTTATACTGATCTGACTTCAAGTTTGAACCACGTTAAATTTCACCAGTAACTTTATTTTGACCAATAACAGACTGTGACAGTGTAATCTCTATGGCCACTCAATATAAATTAATATCAATAGCAAATACACGTCTGCCAAACAAAGTGACTGTAGATAGTATTATAAACATCGGCCATCTACTTTTTTTACACCAGGTTAACTTGATCCCACTGGTCACTGCGATGCGAGTAGTTATTGTATTCATTTTAAATACTGTGTGCTTATTTATTTACTATTAAGATACCATTTTGTACAATTTTGAGACGATATTGTAGGATTTTAGGAGCTCGAGGGTAAACAGGTCTGTAATAAACAAGAAAATCTAGATACAATAATTTAAAATTGGCATAGCAGCCAGGAGGTCTTCGCAATTTTGAAGATCTCCTAGTATTCTAAACATAATATTTAAATTGTATTACAACGTCTTGTTTTCCATACTTTTTATCAAGCAAGTTTAAGGACCGTCGGCGGGCTGGATGAACTGGCTTCGCGGGCCGTAGTTGATTGGTTTTGACAAAAATGTGACTTTATATTGTAAAATTGTATCTGGTGCTGATGCTTCTAAGTCCTAAAATCAACCAGGCAATATCATACACTGCAAAATTTTTTCAAACTTAAAGCATTAAAAATCACATAAACTTTTTCTTCTCTGGAATTGGAATTGAAGTCCTGGGAACCCTATCCTGCCAATGAATCAAGAACCTGTGGTGGTCATGTTGGTACACACCCTCCTCCCCTCTTTTTCGAAGCTATCAAAGTTCATATCAATTTAAACTTGGGAGACAGTAAATTGTCCATTATCTATGTATTTGTTATTGTCCAATTTGCCTTCTCTATTCACTCATTGATTTTTATTCATGTTGGTGGTCCTATCTTGTTGCAGAGTTCAAATAGAGAAATTGTGGAGTCCTGCCTAGAGTTCTGCTTTTATAAGGCAATCACGGGTGAGCCCAACCGCATCTACAAGTTGTACTGCATAGAAGATTTGATTGTTACCCTGATGCTGAGGAGTGGAAAGATTAATGACAAGCCTGCTCTCAGCCAGATCTACGACGCACTGATACAAAACAGATGGGACTACACAAGCAACATAAGGTGAGTCGCCTATGGGGATCATGCTTGGCAGCTAACATTGTAACTTATAGGGCATTGTAGTGACTAAGTATAACTAGAATATATTATGTTTTATCACTTTGACATTTAAAATGATTTAATGAAGCATATAATGTTTAACTAACAGACAAGAGTGCTTTTATGTTACGTCTACTATTTAAATGTTTTATACTACAGTGTGCAATGTCTGGGATCTTACACACACCCTCCTCAACCCTCCTATATTAACTAATTTTCTACAAATCATTTTTATTGGATACGCTCAGAATAGTTTTTAAATAAGTAGATTTGATTCCTGTTACGATGTGATGAGTTGGCTCATTCTCTGAAATACTTGCTTAGTAGCGCAGCCATGTACAAAGTAGCATTTGTAACAATCAAAGGGTAAGACACATTAAATGGGAAATGTACTAAGCAGTATTTGTAACATTCAAAGGGTGGGACACAATAAATGTGAAATGTATGAAGCAGAATTTGTAACATTCAAAGCGTCTGACACATTAAATAGGAATTTTTCTGTGGTTGACAGGTGGTCCATTAAATAAATAAGACCAAATGAATAAACACTCATTTTTATGATTTATTTTCATGTGCTTCTGATCATCTTGTTGATTTCAACTGTTAAAAGTCAAATTCCTACCATGTACAGGTGCCAGTACCATGAACAGGTGGACTCCTGTTGGTGTTCTATTTCAATAGTCAAGAGATACAGGTGTGTAAAATATGTTCGTGTGTTTCTCATCCACTTGTTATTTTCAACTGTTAATTTCTTGTGTTTCTCATCCACTTGTTATTTTTAACTGTTAAAAGTCAAATTTCTACCCTTTAGTTTCAATAGTTAAAAAAAAAAAAGGAAAATTGTAAATACTTGTCTGTGTGCAACCCTCCCCCTCATGCGCTGCTGAGTTTTGTGAGGGTGACTTAAATCAACTATTTGTACAACTACTTTGATTTGAATAGCCAAAATTGCTTTTGTGCTCAGTTCTATAAAGAAGAAATAAGATTCTAAATGGAGAAGTGTTTTGATTACACTGTACATATTCACTTTCAGCACACAGAGAAACATTCTGATTAAGATAACTATTTTTAGACCAGATTTATTGAATCGTGAGAAATTCTAATAAAGTTTTTCTCTGGCTCAGAAAATCAGCCATCACTCCCGTAATGACCATATTGACTTTGAGGGGGATCATTTAATTTTAATTATAGTTTAATACAGCCGGGGACCCATGCTCGTAAATTTTGACAGATTGGCTCGACCATATGAATTTATATACTTTCTTAGTGTTATATTTTCACACACGGTGTAATGCGGTGTAAACTACTGGTTTCCATTTCAGGGCTGCTCCCTCTTTACAACAATGTTTAGGGCTCTCAAAATCTGCTTGCTTTTTCATGAAGTTGTCTTTTAAGTGTGTAGCACCTAGCAGTCTTTATTGTCTTGGTTGTTTGTATGTTTTTATTTGCTCCTCCCCACCCCAAATCCCTTATTGGCTTAATATGTCTATATTCTTCAAGATTGATTTGTAAACATAAAGAAGGAACACCTTTTTTTTTGTTGTTGTTGTTTCCTTTAGCTTTGTGATCTTTGACCTTTTGTCTAAACTACTGGACTTCAAACTCACGGCTAAACACTTGCCTGACGAGCGCCAAATTGACTTCAAAGTGATGCCATCTTTTGGGAGAAACAAAGGTAAGAAATCCAATTATAATAATAATATGAATAATAATTGTGATTAATAATGTTATTTCTATATATTGTGTTTAATGAATGCTTGTCAGTGGATATTTTTTTATTATCCTGTCAATGACCATGGTGAATAGAAAGTGGGACAAGAGACATCCTTGTCTGACTTCCGTTTCCACTTTAAAGGCATCTGTGAGTCTACCTTCTTGTACCACCATGCATGTCATCTTTGAGTCTACCTTCTTGCACCACCATGCATGTCATTTCTTCATAAGAACTCTGAATGATCCTGACTAGTTTTCCTGGTACCCCATTATGATGGAGAATTATCCACAAGGTTTATCGGTTCAAGCACTCCAAAGCCATTTTGTAGTCTATACAATTTATAGATAGGGGGAATTCCAATGGATTGTTCTACAATGATTCGTAGTGTCGCAATGTGATCTGTGCATGATCTGTTTTGGTGGAAGCCAGCCTGTTGATCTCGTAGCTGCGTGTCAACCTGGTCTCTTATTCTATTTAAAATAATTATGTTAAAGACCTTTCCTGGTACTGGTAAAGACAGCAGTGTTATTCCTCGGTAGTTTGCACAGTTGCTGAGATCCGCTTCTTTGGCATCTTGATGAGATATCATTCGTTCAAATGTTTTGAAACTCTCTCTTCTTTTCATATCTTTTCAAACAGAGGGAGCAGCATGTTGAATATTGTATTTATCTCTGCCCTCATCATCTCTGTTGTGATGTTATCCATTGTATCTGGTTACGGGAAATTTGTTTCAGTGTGCTGGTGGACCACCCCCTCCTCCCCAACCAACAAAAAAAAAGTAAACATCAGCCAAAGTAACCCAAACAAACCCCCCCCCCCCTCAGAATCACTAGTGTCAGATATGTTAACTAGGATTAAGATACATCTTTTGTCTCTTATAATTTTACATTTATTTCAATACCTCTAAAAAAAAAAGAAACACCCCACAAAGTAACCCAAACAAACCCCCCCCCCCCCCTCAGAATCACTAGTGTCAGATATGTTAACTAGGATTAAGATACATCTTTTGTCTCTTATAATTTTACATTTATTTCAATACCTCCTCATTTTAGCCGTCAGCAAAAGGGAATGGGAGCCGAGGTCTCGGTCACCACCCAAGTTTATGGATCCAGCCCCTGTTGTTGCTTCAAAGCCCACAGAAAGATATGTGGTATGTGCTCTGGCTTTAAGAAGTATTACCTCATTATGGAGTCATGAGAACTTTTAACGTCATTATAAAGTCAAAAAGAAATGGTAACTTCATTATAAAGTAAAAAAGAAATGGTAATTTCATTAATATCTGATGTCATAAACTTGTTTGTTAGCTTTAGAGACACACTCCTAGATCAGCATTCCCCAAATGGTGTTCCAAGTACTTAGACTTGTCAGCAAGCCTTATGTCATTGCTGGTTTTTGAACCTTAGGTTACCAGTCTGGAGTCTATAATTGCTAGTCTGTGAACGTTATTTTGCCAGACAAATGAGCATCATGTCCATGGGCCTTACTGTGCCAGTCCATGAGCCTTATATGGTTGGTCTGTGAGCCTTACTTGGCCAGTCTGCACAACAGGAATATTATGATTAAAAAAAAAATTTAATATCATTATTGCATCCGGTACCAGTCCCTGGTGTAATTTCAAAACCTATCCACCGGTCTGCCAAGCTTTAAAATTTCGGAAATGCTGTCCTAGATAACATTGCTGAATCCAGCTCTGTGAAATTGTTTTTCCATGTTGACAAAAGTTGAATTATTTGTCATAATGTTAAAACTATGCATGAATCCCCGGGTAACAAAGTATTGGATGAGATCAATGTGTATGATAATAACCATAATTGATCATTGATCAAACAGATAAACTTGAGTGACTCGGATGACGAAGAATCTATTTCTGCTTCAGAAGAATACCAACTGAAAGAGTTGAGAGTGCCACAGACACCCTGTAAGTTCTTTAATCATGTATCTCAAATATTTCCTAATCCCTGGTGAATAGGATAAGATACCATTTCCCAAAAGGAAAAGTACCAGATTTTTTAAAAAGAAATTCTGGGTGTCTGGTTTAAGAATTACCCAGAGCCCATCTCCTTTGCAGGAAATGGATTCAAATTACCCAGAGCACATCTCCCTCCTTTGCAGGAAATGCATTTAAAAAAAATTACCCAGAGCACATCTCCTTTGCAGGAAATGCATTTAAATTACCCAGAGCACATTTCCCTCCTTTGCAGGAAATGCATTTATATTATCAAGAGCACATCTCCTTTGCAGGAAATGCATTTAAATTACCAAGAGCACATCTCCCTCCTTTGCAGGAAATGCACTGGAAAAAAAGAGGTGGAGGTCATTCATTAGAAACTTTTTCAAAACTGGGAAATCTATAAATTTCTATAGGAAAGATTAAAATTGCATTTAAAAAAAAATAAATATTTTTTTATTGTGTTAGGATTGCTTATAATGGATTAGTTTTCTGTTTAAATTTTTTTTTTTTTTTAACAGCTATGTCTGTAGCGATGTCAGGTTTAAAACTGGGTGCAGGTGAGTGGAGATTTAAACAAAAATAATACTTTCAGTTTTTATTTGAAGTTTTAATCTTTACAGATTAGTTAGGCTATATATTCTTTGAAAAATTTTAATTAAAGAATATGTCAGCAGTTTTAAACAGGAAAGTTTAAATTTTATGCTACTTACATTTACTCTACACTGGCAATTGACATTTAATTGCAACTAATTTCCTCAAGATTTGTAAATTATTATATAAAAAAATTGGACAAAAGATAAACCCTTCCCTCAAACAATATTGTTTCCACATCAAAATTGAACTACTCTGGTGGTAACGTTTTAAACAATTATTTTTGAAACTTTAAGCTGTAGAGAGATAGATCTAGTAAATATTTTTAAAAAATTATATGAAGTAAATATTTAATAATTGGGTTTTTAAGTGTTTTTATTTGAAAGTGATCAATCATCTTACATGTGTACCTCCTATAGGTCGCGGCATCACCACCCTTCCGTCTTTTCCTCGTAGTGAAGTTGACGTGGCACCACCTCCAGGATTTGGTCCAAAGCCTTCAATTGTAAGTACTTTTTGGGGAGGACTGAAGTGTCCTGTAAATTGTTGTATGTATTGGTGTCATTTAGAGGAATGCCACGATTTTACACAAAAAAAATTGTTTAGCAAGTCCTGTAAATTCCTATCGCGTCTTAAAACATTAAATTCAGTACAGTCAACTCCACACTTCATGGTCTGCTTCAATGGGGATTACAGGCAACGCCGTTCTTCATTGTCTGCTTCAATGGGGATTACAGGCAACATCACACTTGATGGTCTGGTTCAATGGGGATTACAGGCAACACCACCCTTCATTGTCTGCTTCAATGGGGACTGCTTCAATGGGGATTACAGGCAATGCCACTCTTCATTGTCTGCTTCAATGGGGATACAGGCAACGCCATTCTTCATGGTCTGCTCTAATGGGAATTACTCTCTATGAATATGGAAGTCTTTTGGTTTGTTTGCTGTTGTTGTTCCTGTTGCTTAGTTTAGTGTTAAGTTCCAGGTAGTGTACTGAGTGCAGTCAATCTCAAAACAACCCATTGCGAAATTCATCTTTTTCTTTATTTCTACTTAAAGCTGTTGAAAATGGAGGAACATGTCTCTAAATTATATGAGGTTATATAACCATGTTTGGTATCAACCATCTAGCCCAGTGTTTCCCAACGTGGGGCCCACGCCCTACAGCGGGGCAGTTTGATTGTTTACTGGGGTAATTGGAAAATGAGCTGTCTAGAATTTGAAAACCAACCGTCTGCTATGATTTAACTTGTATTTTAAAAGGAGGATCATTTGTCTTAATTTGAAATAAGCGTTTGTTAAAAGTGTTGTAAAAGTCCGTTGATTTCAAAAGTAGTAAATAGTCTCAGTTGGCAAAGAATTGTTATTAGAATGAATGCCTTTATACATATAGCCTAGTAAACTGTAGGTCTTGACTTCCAATTAGAATTATGCCAGAAAAAATATTTACCACAAAAATTTTTGAACAGTTTCATTGGCTCCAAAAAATGTGAAGTGGCTGATACCGCTTTACTTGTTATTGTCGATCATCTGAAAATTCTGTCGGCTGAATTAAAAAGAAGATTTTCTGAAATTTTAACAGGTTGATTTTTTTCAATATGGAAGATGCAGCCAATGTTAGTGGATTTGTCTGATATTTCAATATGCAGTATCAAGAAAAACTCGCAGAAATTCAAAATGGTGTGCCTGTTAAAAATTTTCTTACTATAAAAGGAGCGATGGCTTGGCTTTGTGAGGAAACAGAAATCAAACATCCTAATTCATCCAAATGTGCTAGAAAACTAGTGTTACCGTTTCCATATTAAACTTTAGCCGAATGGGGATTTAGTGCCATAAATGATTTGCTGCTAAAAAAAGAAAGAAATGGGTTGGATATAACCCAGTGGGGAGATTTGAGACTGAAGCTATCTAAATTGGAACCGAAAACATAAAATCTCTTTACAGCAAGCATCAAGCACAAACATCTCACTAAATTTAAATAATAAATAATTACTAATAATTAAATAATATAGAAAAATCTTCCATTAAAATTATTTCGTACTTAAATTTCAGTTCTCTATTAAATGTTTTGAGAATTTACTTACTGTGTTTGTTCACCAATTTCCTAGTGATTTCTTCCTAAAACCTATCATTTAAGTTTCTTCAGTGAACAACCCTATTTTTGAATATTAAAAAATTATGTTTATGATCATGGGGGGGGGGGGGGGGGGTATAAGAATATTAGAAAGGTCTAGGTGGGGCATGACACAAAAAAGTTTGGGAAACACTGATCTAGACAGTAGCAGATGCCTCATGCTTGGTGTCAACCATCTAGCCAGTTGCATATGGATAAATAGATGATTTGCTTTGTTTCAACAGTCGCCCTCCTGCGCACCAGCAGTTCCGGGAGCACAAGCCAGGCCTCAGAACCCATTACTCCAAGGTCAAGGTCGTGGACTTCCGCCACCAAGTGGCTCACGAGGTCGAGGTCTCCCCCCACAGGTCACCATGACCCAGCTAGCCGGGAGAGGGAGAGGCACTAAAGACTCTTGAAGATCTTCTTGGATTCATTTCAAATAATCTCGGTAAAATTATTTTTCATTCCATACTTCAAGAAAAATCTGTTGAGTTATTGAAAGAAAGAAATCAGCAATTTGATGTTGCTTTAATAGAGTCACTTGAAAAACATTCAGTATTAAAGTCTTTGTGTCTCTGCTGCCATGTCCAGCACTCATGTAAAAAAAAACAACAATATGTAAGGGAAGTGCACTTACAAGTGAAGTCCACTCGGTGAAGCCTTATTCAGTGATTTGAACATTTAATGTTTAACTCTTTTGCTGCAGAATTTTTCTAATGGAAAAATGCACATATAGCATGGTGGATGAACGTACTGTGCGTTGCGCCGCAGCAAAGAGTTGTTTAATATTACCTGGAAAAGGCCTTTCCTTGGTGTAAATATAGATGTAAACGTTTATGAGTAATATAACAATATTTAAATATACGATAAACAATAAAGTCTTAACCTGCTTTGAAGTTGAAGCAATGAATCCAATATTCATCCCAATGGCTGAAGACTCTTGCCTGTCCTTGTGAATGGAAGGGAAAAGCCTGTCACCTACATAATTGTGTTAAAAATTCAAGACTTTTCCCCTAAAGTTCTGGAAAATGTTGTGAGGTCAGAAGCCCAGTTTCTTTGAGTTATTTTGTTTCCATAATTCACAATTTAAAAAATGTTATTGCATCATCAACACTTTGCAAATGCTTGAAGCTCAGTAAATTAATATGTTAGGTTCAGTTTTGTTTTTGTTTTATTCATTTCATTTTTGATTAATATTGGTTGATTCTAATCACTACAAGTTGGGTTTAAAAAAAAGGTATAGTTTAAATTGCTTTTCAGTTTTGATTGCACTAAATGATTTCTTGAACTCTGCTGTGTATTGCAATTCATTTCTTTAAAACACATTTTTGGGTGACTTTCTTGTGCCTTTTTAAAAAAAAAAATGTCTTTTGTTATATTTGTTGGTTCCAAACAATATACCCCACCTGCCACTAAGTTATCTCTGGCAAAGATGTTTAGCTAAAATAAAAAAATTAAAAAAACTGTTAATATTATTTTTTTATTAAAATGTTGCTTTAAAAAGTGATTGAATGTTATTCGTTTTGATTGAATACAAACTTAAAGCAATATTTATCTTCTGAATTCATGTATTTATATCTTTGACTCAGACTTGTTGAACCCTCTTATTCCATGAAACAATACGCCCCTCCCACAACAACCAAACCTCCCCAAACTATAGTACTCTGCGAGATCCTAAATAAAACAAAACCAGATTGAAAAGAATCCTCTTTTATTTACCAAAATTATAATTTTGCAATTTGTAGTTGACAATTGTACATGTACACAGAAATTGTACATGTGATAAAAATGATCAGATGGCATGAAAAGAAACAAAATAAATAAATGATAATACAAAACATTTGTTTTAAAAAAAAGAATAGCAGTGTTTCTCAATGTGGGCCAATTCCCCCCCCCGAGCCACAGTATATTTCTTGGGGGCCATGAACATTTTGAAAATGATTCATGTTGGCTTCATATCTGAAGGAGAGGGCGTATACCGCAACTTAGTTACAAGCTTTATCAATTGGTGCGATAGACATTTGCTCCAGCTGAATGTCTCGAAAACAAAGGAAATGGTTGTTGATTTCAGGAGGGGGAAACACCAGATTACAAATCTCAACATAAAAAATTGAAGTGTAGAGAAAGTAGAGACCATTAATAATAAGCTAACATGGCATGAGCATGGCCAAATGCTGTATACGAAATTTAACCAAAGACTGTTTTACCTCAAAAAACTGTACAATTTCGGCCTAAACAAACAAGTCGTTAACTTATTCTACAGTGCAACAATTAGATGCCCACTTAATTTTAGTATTACTGTAACGGACTATGTTTTCACATGTAAACAGAGAGGTAGCATGAGTGGACAGTGAGTGTGTTCACCAGGTTTTTCCACGGGGAGAGACAATCAATGTGGATTGTATTTTTGAGAACAAATGTGAACTCCACGTTTTTGGAGAGTAAAATTATGTTTTTGTCAGAGCGGTTGTTTTGCACGCTTTGCTGGTAATAAAGTATGAGTTGACTGAGATAGTAGAGAGCTGAGCGCAGAGCAGTAGAGTCAGTCAGTAGCGTGAGAGCTGTGAGATTAGACAGTTGAGCTGAGTTATAGTAGTCTGAGGACGTGTCTTTCTTAATGATGGAATACTATAGATATATATGTGAAATTACATTCATGCAAGGATTATTTATTAATATTATCAATATAAAGTGTGTTCAATAAAGTACTGTGAGTTTTAACTAGAATTGAGTATTCTTCTTTACGTGCCTGAATAATAAGTGAAAGAATGAAGAAGACTGAGTCGGCATCCTGAAGCGTTAATATAAGTAACCATACTACTGACATAACCCACAGCATAAGAAATAACATCCCACGCCATGTCAGAGTAGAAGTGTGTTACAAATGGTGTCAGAAGCGGTGTAACGACGATGCGTTACAAATATTGTCAGAAGTGTCAGAACAACGATGTATTACAGAACATTGAGTAACAATGATATATTTTAACATTCGAATCGAACGTCATTACGCCCGAGTATTTGTCAAGTCTGAGAAGAGTCCACGACACACAGAGCAAGCTGACAACGATTGAATTTAGGTCAGTCACGGGAGTCAAAAGTTCAGAGTGCAAACAGCTAACTGGTACACTGTTTCAATTATATAACAGTGGAGTGAATATTCTCGTGGAAGAAACAGCAAGAAATCTATTTTACAGTTATTAGTCAACGAAAGAGATGATCCACACAAAACCAAAAGAAGTCTGATGTCATTACAGATGAGATGTTTTATCAAGACAGCGGAAGTAAGATTTCCCCAGCATAATCTTTACTTTATACAAGCCGCACAGTTCAAGTCAAGTAATTCTTCAAGTAATTCTTCAATTACTCACAAGTGCAACAGAACCGGAGAGAAATTAGACAATTTTCAATTATTGGATTATCACAATTACACTATTACGCAAGGTACTTACATTGGAGTATTGCAGCAATTTGTGGTGTAACTTTTCTCATTGGATTATTTTACCCAAGTACACTACCACATAGGATTATCTACTACCTAGAAGGAGCATCTACTACATAGGATTATCGATTACACAGAAATCAGAGCGTCACAGAGGAGCAGAGGTGACCAACTACGGATTTCTTTTAAACACTTGGTATTTATGTATTTATGTGTTATGTATTATATATAATTTAAGACTTTAAAAATCTACTTATATCATACTTAATTAGATTAAGTAAATTTTTTACTTTTTCTGTATAATATAAGTTTAATTTTAGAGTATACTGTAGGGACATCCACGGTGTTATCTTTCCTAGGGAAGTTTTTTTATTAAAACGGTAAAGGTTTCTTCTGGCCCTATTTATAACACTGTAGGATAATTTTGTGTTAGCTGTGAAGTCTAGTTTGTACATTGTCATAACTGTTGTTTTTTAGTAGATCTTGTCATATTTGTGCTATTTGTCTTGTCATTGTTATACATATTGTCAACCTACTGTCATATTTTCTACTATCTTGTGGTCCATAAACTAAACAGTACTTTTGTATTTGTTGTCTCATTTGTATTCATGTAAACGTCTACATATCTGTATTTATGTTGTGAAGTAGACAATTTAATTATTTTAAATTTTTCTTACACTTATTTATAACTTATAATTCATGTATCAACTTGCATTTGTGTATACATTCATTAACATGTAGATATATGAAATATCGTAAACTATTTTAATTGATAACCAAAGAATAAGGAGATAACTGATATACTGATACATAACAATATAATTTTAGTTACTCACATTACATAAAAAAAAATGGCAGAGTACTTAGAATTATTAGAAGTAGGTGAGAAGCTTGGCTTGAAGCAGGAGAAATTAGCTGACTTCGTAACTCGAGAAATGGACAAACTTAGGGAAAAACAAGACAAAGACAAAGACCGAGAAGCTAGACTGTTAGAGAGAAGCGACCTTAAACAAATAGAAGAACTAAAATTAAAAGGACAAAAGGAAATAGAAGAACTTAAATTAAGAGAACAGGATATGAAATTAAGAGAGGAAGAAATAAAACTAGAAAGAGCTAGAATAGAATCAGGACAGCATACACCATCAACAAGCAATAGAGAAACCAATAGCACATATAAACCTAAATTTAGAGAATTTAATGAACATAAAGAAGAAATTATCAGTTATCTGTCACAATTTGAAGGCATATGTCAGTCTTACAATTATAGAGAAGAGACTTGGGCTAATATTTTATTGAGCAGACTATCAGGGAAAAGCCTAAGCATTATCAATTCACTTAGTGAAGAACAAAAGAATAATTATACATATATAAAGAAAGTTTTGTTAAAGTTCTATGGAAACACAGAAGACATTTATAGAAAAAATTTCCACAACATAAGACTAGATAGAGAAGTAGATCCTAACACCACCATATTCAATATTAGAGACAATCTTGTCAAATGGCTTGAATTAACTGAAATTGACCTAAATGATCCAAAAGCATTACTGGATATGTTTATCATAGACAAAATATTAAGAAATGCATCAGTCACTTTATTTTCATTCCTTAAAGAGAGAAAGATTAAAAATGAACGTGAGTTAGTTGACTCAATCACAACATTCAAAGATGCTCACCCCAATGAAGAGCTAGACAATAGAAACAGCACACTGGCCTCTATTAGAAACACACCCAGTGATAGGGACAGTCAAAAACAAAACACATATCAAAATAGAAGATACCACAGCCTACCTGCCAGATGGCAAAACAATAAATTTCAGAAAAGTCATCAAAACAATTACCAAACACCATATACTAATTATTCAAACAACAACAAATGTTTCTACTGTGGCATTCCAGGTCACAAAAAATATGAGTGTAGGAAATTACATAGAGATTTAGGACATTCACAACAATACTATCAGAGAACATCACCCAACACTAGTCCAATAAGACACAACAATACAAATAGGAGTAGACAACCATATAAAAATCAAAGATATAATTCCAATCAGACTAACAGTAGGCAAAACACCAAACCACATGAAACTTTAGCTAGCGCATGTCACAGTGAAGGAAGTTTACAATTTTTTCCTTCTTATGTAAACAACCAACTTGTTCAGTGTCTAAGAGACACAGGTTGTACAACAATAGTAGTTGACA